ACTAAGGAGTATAATTACTAATTAGTAGTGGTGAGTGCCATATTTTTCTGTAGCAATTAGAGCGTAATTTCTGGTAATTTTAAACGTGAAATTGTGAGTTCATATATTTTTTAGTCTTTTTGAACATTAAAATACATACAGTAATATAAATATGTTGTTCTTAAATAGTGTGGATTATATGCTATGTCGGGGAAAGGAGTTTCTATCTAATTATGTATTCTAAACTAGGGGTGGGGTATCGGGGGAAGATTATGGGCTTAGAGTTTAGTGGCTCACCTAGAAAAACGTGGAGGGAGTAATCATGCTCTTTCATTGGGAACCCTTTTATTAAAATTGTTCAACCTATACCATATTTGGGATTTTGTGTTATACGGGAGGGAAATGTCAAAAGTGCCTTGACAGGTGGCCAGACGTTGTCATGGTAATTTACCCAGAATGCATCACCAAATGGAGTAAACAAAACCTATTCAACCAATCAGAGGGTTTCCCGCTGCATATCATCAGACAGGAGAGATAGCATCGAATCTGGCCCATGTGCGCAGTTGATCTTGGAAAGTTGAATGGACAAGACCTCGCGCAGTGTGGACATTGGAATATAGCAGACACATGTGTAAAAGACTTTATTGGATTATTTTGTTGGTGTGTATTTAATAGAATACAAGGAGCGTTGATGATCGTGTAGTGATAGGATTTACGTACAGTATAAAGTAGTTGGATTATATTTGTTGCGATTGTATGGCCAAAGTGTTGGTGAGTTATAATTTACTGTATAGACTTTGATCTCCAGAGAGTTTTTTTTATGGTCTAGTAACGTGGGATCTAATCTCCTTAGGGATTGACATTTCCAATTGTTATAGACATTTACATCATTTATAACTGAAATTTATGGTCCTGCTTTCGTCTCTGTTGATCGCCATATTGAATCATACAGTTTTGGAGTAGCCATTTTGTGACGTCACTCTTCTGCTACCCAGAATTCCCCTTGATCCGCCATATTGGATTACTCCCGTGAGTTATTTAATTCCGGTCTAATCTCCTTAGGGATTGATATTCCCGAGTTTTATATCTCAGAGCATAAATACTCTAGAAGGTGTGTCCATTATTCCTTTCGGAGCAGAGATACTCCCGTGAGTTATTTAATTCCGGTCTAATCTCCTTAGGGATTGATATTCCCGAGTTTTATATCTCAGAGCATAAATACTCTAGAAGGTGTGTCCATTATTCCTTTCGGAGCAGAGATACTCCCGTGAGTTATTTAATTCCGGTCTAATCTCCTTAGGGATTGATATTCCCGAGTTTTATATCTCAGAGCATAAATACTCTAGAAGGTGTGTCCATTATTCCTTTCGGAGCAGAGCTACTCCAGAAGAGGTGTTATACATCCCAGAGCAGAGCTACTCCAGAAGGTGCATTATACATCCCAGAGCAGAGAGCTCCAGAAGAGGTGTTATACAGCTCGGAGCAGAGCTACTCCAGAAGAGGTGTTATACATCCCAGAGCAGAGATACTCCAGAAGGTGCATTATACATCCCAGAGCAGAGCTACTCCAGAAGAGGTGTTATACATCCCAGAGCAGAGAGCTCCAGAAGAGGTGTTATACAGCTCGGAGCAGAGATACTCCAGAAGAGGTGTTATACATCCCAGAGCAGAGAGCTCCAGAAGAGGTGTTATACAGCTCGGAGCAGAGATACTCCAGAGGATGTGTAATACATTCCGGAGCTGAGCTACTCAGGGTGTGGTTTATTACTCCGGAGCAGAGTTTATCTGGGAAGCATGAAATACCTCAAAGTCTAGTTGATTTCAGATCAGAGATTATTCTTATATAAGCTGATGAGAGAGCTATAGACATTAATTATTATATTTGAGTGATTGTCCCCGAGTGGAGCAGTGGGTCCTTGGGTATGGAGACGATTTGTTTTCGGAGCTGAGTGAATCTTTGAGATCCCTGACACTATTATAGACATTTTTTTATATTTGTGAGCCATAAAGGCATGAAAGACATTTTGAAGTTGACTGTTATTATATGTGTGTGGAAATAGAGTATAAAAATCCCGTATAACATTGTTTTGTATATGTAAATGCCATCTCTAAGTCCCAGTGACAGCTGAAGCACCAAACAAGCTCGGCGCCCGTGAATAACATCTCCGCATCCCCTCAATTGCAACCAGGTCTTCTCCGAGGGAGCATACGGGTCCTCGGCGGCGATCTGGCGCGCGACAATACATATTATGCTGATTTAATTTGTAAATAAGAGTAAAAATAAGTGAAATTGAAACATCTCAACAAAATACATTAATAATATGAGATATATGGATTTTCTTGATAACTACAATGAAGTATTTACTCAAGGATATAAAATACGTATTATCACAGGCTGGTATCGAAAGATTTGTCCGCTGTGACGGAGCATGCATAAGACTAGATAATATTAAAATATGTTTTCAGCATAACTCTGAGTGCATTAACAAGATATTAATCACGCCCGGTGATCGTACAAAATGGATGAAGGGGGGGGGGGGGATTAGGCGATTTCTGCAAGAAAATTCAACAAATTTGGAAGATTTTTTTTTCAAGAGAAAATTTACAACTGTTGTAATCACTTTTTAGTGATTGCAATCTTGTTTCCTACTCGAAATACTTATCAACCAACTCAGGATTTAAATCAATAAATAATTTCTATCTCTTTATTTCGTTGTAAAATTAATGTAATATCAATATACAGATTAGATCCCTGTACTGCCTGGCTACCTCGAGAACTCTCTAGAGACCAGCTCCCGTTCCTTATATATTTTGTTGTAAATGGCCAGTGCCTTATGAATGTTTAAGATGTTAGGTCAACGGTAAGTAAAATGAATATTCAATGTCATAGTGCATAAGAAGGGTCATAGGTTCAGGCAGTACAGGGTTAATAATTAATTATGTATGTAAATAACTGTTATGGTTTTTTATGATTGTGTCTTGTCCCTTGAGTCATAACACAACTGAATTGCCAAATGAATAGGCGCAGTGCATGGCAAAATATGTTAGGTCATCTAGTATTTTTTTGGAACTGATACCCTTCTAAGATATGAGATCTATTAAAAAAGGCGCATCATCATCAACGTGCAAAAGTCAATGTTTTTACTATAAATCGGGCATCAATGGTCTACACGACCTGTAATAAATAGGTATAAGGGGCGTTATTATCACAATACTTATGACATTGCTCACTTTTTAAAGTTAGTTTCCATGCGTTATACATAAAAAAATAATCGAAATAAATTAATATTGGATGGAGGGGGATTGGATGGAGGGGGGGGGGATCACGTGTATGTAAGACATGATAAGACATGCTACTTGAATTTATTCTTATGACTCCAAATCCCATTTTTCGTTCTCCAGAGATATAATATCCAGTTTCTTACTGGGGTACTGAGTTTAGTTTTTTCAAATACCCGAGTTCTTGTGAATTTGTTCCATCGTAAAGACATATTAATCCCCCCTCCATCCACTCCCCCCCTCCATCCAAAATTAATTTATTTCGATTATTTTTTGTATAACGCATGGAAACTAACTTTAAAAGTGAGCAATGTCATTAGTATAATGCCCCTTATACCTATTTATTCCAGGTTGTGTAGACCATTGATGCGCGATTTATAGCAAAAACATTGACTTTTGCACGTTGGTGATGATGGACCTTTTTTAATAGATCCCATATCTTTGAAGGGTATCAGTGCAAAAAAATACAAGATGACCTAACATATTTTGCCATGCACTGCGCCTATTTATTTGGCAATTCAGTTGTAAATTTTCTCTTGAAATAATAAATCTTCCAAATTTGTTGAGTTTTCTTGCAGAAATCGCCTAATCCCCCCCCCTCCATCTATTTTGTACGACCACCGGGCGTGTTAATGCATTGGATCTTTTTAATTTTTTTTATAGAAAATAATATTAATATTTTTAGTCCGCTGTGACGGAGCACTTTCACAGTTCACATTTGCAACTACTCCGTCACAGCGGACAAAAACATTAAACATTATTTTTATAAAAGAATTAAAAAGACCAAATACATCAACATCTCATTTATACCTTCATTGTTATGCTGAAACCATGTGTAAATATTATCGTGTCACTATATCGTGCCATTAGAAAGTTAAACAAGAAATGTAGCCTTGCCCCAAGTCGGTCTCTTTTACTTATCTTGATTTCTATTATGACCGCCTTGTACCAAAGAGAAAGCCACGTGCTTTACCGACAGTTTGTTTATGTCGGTGATTTTGACCAATAGCACGCGACCTTTCAATGTCTAAATTTAGGTTACAAACACACGAGGTAATACAGTTGTTGATTTTACTCCAATCAGCAAGTTATTATCGGAACCTTTGATAGTGGCATTGTGGGAAGTCCTACCTCGCTTTACTTTCATCAGCTAGCAAAACTGAAAATGACCCTCGCAAAATCGATAAACGTTTTATTTGCTGAATATAATTGAAAGTAATTCGAATGTAGTGAACCGATTTAATATCAGAAAGTTGATGACTGATCAGTTCTCATATAAACACTTATAGTTATGCTGTTAAAAGGATAATGAAAAGTTATTATGTTTCTGGTGAATGCATTTTATTTGTAAGGGAGATACCTGGATTTGCAGACTGCAAGCATGCCGCATATAACTTCACAACCGCATGGCGAACACGTGAATTTATTTATTGATTTTTGTGTATGACTACCGCTATTGGCTAATGCTATAGCTAGCGCACGCGTAATAGTTGGTGCATAATTTATCATAATAACAGTGGAGATGTATCGGATTACACAAGGCGGTAATAATTCAAGATCAGATAAAGTAAAAAATACCGACTTGGGGCAAGGCTACAAGAAATGGTACATTTTGAAGTATGATACTCCGGCGCCATTTTCAATAGCTTTTATTCCCAGCGTAATTTGACTTCAAACAGAAGTGAAAGTTACCAGCGAATGATATATCCATTGCATGGAGTAAGTAATTTTCTTTGGTATAACGAAACATATGAGTTAAAAAATAAATCGTGAGGCATTCTTAGTGTTTTTATGAAAAATAGCATGCTCCGTCACAGCGGACAAATATTTCGATACCAGCCTGTGATTATAAGTTTTGGCTAGTATATCATTACATAACAAAATATCATAATCATAAACGTCCACATACGGAACGCCTGCACGGACGCACGCACACATGGATTCTAACCATCACGCTCTGTCGGTTCTGTTTGCTAAATGGAGTATATTTCAGGAGTCTACAGAAGGTTTGTCTGATTCACTTTTCTTATCTTTACGTTTTTCAAAATATTTCTTTTACGCCATAATTCCATCTTTATAAGTTGTCCTATTTGGTTCAAACATCTGGAAAAAACAATAACCTCATAAAACATCATAGTTTTGGGATACATATATGTGGGACACTCATAAACAAATAAGAATGACCCTATGGAATTCAAGGATATAATTTGCTGAATCTCATAACCAAATAACAATAACCTTTATATAAAACTAAAGCATATAGAGATTTGGAACCTCGTACATCTTAGTCTTTCATATGACGTCATATAAAATAGAGAATTCTCATTGGTTAAAGCTACAAGGATGATACAACAAAGCAAACACCAAGGAGGATCAGCTCTTAGAATGCAATCTCGATATTTTCTAACAATCAGAAATGAAAATGTTGTTAATTGCCTGATCTGAAAAAATTGGCTATATAACCAGAATCAGCTAATTCAAAAGATTTGAGCTAATATCTTGATCACTTTTTGCGTGTTTCGGATTTTTTGTTACACGAGAAACGAGGAATAAATACAAACACAGCATGGATAAGAAAATATGCTTACATTTGTTCAGTGTATGGCTGAATTATCCGTTCATGAGGCTCGTGAACAATAAAGACATCTGGTAAGACATAGAACGCATACCTTTAAATGTATATTATCAGTAAATTAGTACCCATTAAGAGATGATGATAAAAATCTACAAAAGCATTGTTAACTACAGACAATAAAAACTCCAAAAAAAATCACAAAAATTATATATTAGACATACTAAAGATAATATTTTTATATTAGTAAGAATGAAAACACAGGCTGGTATCGAAATATTTGTCCGCTGTGACGGAGCATGCTATTTTTCATAAAAACACTAAGAATACTTCACGATTTATTTTTTAACTCATATGTTTCGTTATACCATACAAAATTACTTACTCCATGCAATGGATATATCATTTGCGGGTAACTTTCACTTCTGTTTGAAGTCCAATTACGCAGGGAAGAAAAGCTATTGAAAATGGCGCCGGAGTATCATACTTCAAAATGTACAATTTCTTGTTTAACTTTCTAATGGCACGATATAGTGACATGATAATATTTACACATGGTTTCAGCATAACTATGAAGGTATAAATGAGATGTTGATGTATTTGGTCTTTTTAATTCTTTTAAAAAAATAATGTTTAATTTTTTTGTCCGCTGTGACGGAGCAGTTACAAATGTGAACTGTGAAAATGCTCCGTCACAGCGGACAAAAAATATTAATATTATTTTTTATTAAAAAAATTAAAAAGACCCAATGCATTAATATCTCATTAATACATTCAGAGTTATGCTTAAAACATATGTTAGTATTATCGTGTCACTATATCATGCCATTAAAAAGTTTAAAAAATGGTACATTTTAGAGTTTGATACTCTGGCGCCGTTTTTAATAGATTTTACTCCCAGCGTTATTGGACTTCAAACAGAAGTGAAGGTTACACGCAAATGATATATCCATTGCATGGAGTAAGTAATTATCTTTGATATAACGAAACATATGAGTTAAAAAATAAATCGTGAAGCATTCTTAGTGTTTTTATGAAAAATAGCATGCTCCATCACAGCGGACAAATCTTTCGATACCAGCCTGTGGAAAAGGTGGTCTTTGACTTCGTTGGCCATTCCTTTCGAAGATTTTAATTGGGATATAATATAGAGATGTTTCATAAACTATTTGATTTGGCTCCAAAACCTTTAATTTTCGTCGACATTTCGAATGTTTCCGCATCTTTAAATTTGATTTGAGAATCGTATTGTGACATACCCCCCCCCCCCCCAGAAAAATGTGAGGTATTTTAATATTATACTTACTGTAAAACAAATAATTCATAATCATAGAGTATTTTGTTCAAATGCCTAGCAATCAATCGTTCGTCGTAAACTGGAATAGTCTTTCTTTGAAGGATAACATAAGGTTCGAATAGTCCACCACCTACTATCTGTAAATATATGTAGTTACTGTACTAATATCTGAAATACCCTTTTCACCGGTATGATCCACGCCCTGTGATTTTGAAAAGTTCTAATGGACACGTGTTTTCACGCCAGGTCGTAATCTAGAATATTTGGGGTTTGTTTGTTTGTTTTCACTATGGCTGATTGTACCGCTAGATTTTGTTCTTGCTCTGCTTTGTAGTTTTCTTTCTTTTGCACTTGTACATACATAGACATGCATATTGTTTTTATTATGCTATGCTATTTTACTAGCTTGTTAACGAAAGTAAGGCTTATTGTTACCTTATACGGTTTGGTAGCTTTTATAAAATATGCCCAGTTTGTCTTTTCATGACAACCAGGGCATCTGGAAAAGCTGAAAATAGAAATACCCGTGTCTATCTTATAATCTCGTAAAATGGTGTATCAAGCAAAAACGTTTCAGTATAACTGTTAATCTATTTTTGACCAGTACTCAAATAACATTTTTTCCCATTTAAAGTACTTTAATTTCCTAAAGATGCTTTTTAATAATTTTCTATTTATCTTAACACAATCGTTTGAAAAAGCTATGAAACAGACGTTGTTCTTCTTTAAGCCATCGCCCATCTTTGCATAAGTTAAATGATATCCATTATCACTTATCAGCCTCTCGATGTACTGTTGCTACTGTGAATATATAAAAAAATATCCAATTGGCCAATTTTTATCGAGTCAAGGTTATGAATTATTTACCTAAATGTATGTATTGTTTTATTCTTGTGGTTAAGTCTCTGCAACAGTTGCGTTTTATTGTCGGGCACTCCACCCTCAGTTAGGTTCGTCTCAAATGCTGGTGTGACCAATGCCTGGATATGTACGTAAGTAATAAAGAAACCCAGCAAATACCAAAAAATAGCATATGGAAATAGACTTTTGTTTGTAAAGATATTTTTCAAAAAATAACAACATATGGCCAAAGGCTAAAAAAGATGCGCGGTACTAGATTACTTACCGGTAAGTATGCCTGGTTTATATAAGTATTTAGAGATACACCGGAGATACCAGAAAGGATTAGAAATATACGTTTTGTTGTAAAAATATATAAAAAATGAATTTAGATATGGCCAAAGGCTAAAAAACAAAACGTGTGGTATTAGATGTTTATACCAGTCGAGTTGTATTCCAGTTGAATCGGTGTATATGTTTCTTTATTAGCTGGTATGCATCCTTATTTGGTGTGAAATCGGCATCGATCATCCAAATATGGGAAGTATTAGCACCATAGAGAGCAACATTTCTCATGAAATTTACAGGATAATGTGTCTGTAAATAAAATGGACATTATTCATAATTTCCTCACATTATTATTCCCATGGTAAAAGACAAGTCTCGGTTTTGAGAACGAAGTTCATCAGTCTACTAGGCTAATACTTTTTTATGAAAAATATAGAAATAACACCCAAATTAGATTATGGATATTCAAAAGAGGACATTCAAATCTACAATATGTAAAAATATCAAAATTATCCAAAGCTAAGCAAGCGTAACGTGCAGTAGACTGATTAACGTTGTTCTCCAAACCGAGACTAGTCCTTTCCCTAAGTATTTTGCGTACGTGTTACATGAGTGGAAATATATCATTTACCAAATTTGAGATTTTGATGCTCCATATGAGATTTTCAAAAAATGGTATCATTGATAGTTATCGTTGATATTAGATACCCTTAAGTAATACAAGTGATTAAGTGGCAGTAAATCTAAGATGGTAACTCACAAAACCTTGTGTGACTCTTTTGTGCTAATTTACAGATAGAACTGAACAGAACTTTCATTTAATGTCTTAAAAAAATGGGCGTGACTAGTATTCATAAAGACCATTCTATTTTATAGGACCTTGTCTCGTCGCTGAAACGTTTATCACTTACTGCATTCCGTTGATATACTACGTGTATTCCAACATTGTTTCGTTTCCAAGAATGCGTCATATTCAGGAACTTTTCGATCTCGCCATCAGTTCCAAAAACAGACAGGCTCGCAGGTCCAGGCCATTGCCCAAGAATCTTCGCAATTCTATGTATACCTCTGAAAATGTGCAAGATGAGAATAAAATCGATAGTGTATTTTACGTGTAAACTTGGTAGCATAAATAACCTTATTGGTGTCCAACGTTAACTTTACTGGTGGTAAAGAATGGATACTTTATTTTAGATCACTTGCCCACTTTTGCTTCGACAGACACCCTTTTTGCCTATCTCCACCTACACGAGCCAAAGGTTACATACTCAACGTCTAGTATTTACACAAAGTACAAAAGTCTCAACCTTTTCTGACAAGACCAACTACTTCATAAGAACCTATTATAAACCTGATACCTGTTAAGAGTAAGATGCGATAATAATGTGACATCTATAGGTGATGGTTCATAACTGTATTGAAACACAAAATACTTGATATCGTGTCGTAGCTTAATGTCGGAGATTAGACCACTGCAGCTATCGAAACGTTGCCCTTTTATACGTCTGTCTTCAAAGGAACCATTTAACCTAAGCAGAAACTTATCGCTTAATTGTTTCTCTTTGACATCGTAAGTATATATATTCTTATTAATCTCTATGAGTTGCTGTAAACGTATTGGGCTTTCAAGAGAAAGTCCATGCTTTTTTGTAAAAGTTTCAGACTGTGTATGTTCTGTTTTCTCCCCATCGTGTTTAAGTATTGCAGCAGTTGAAGTGAATCTTGGGTGCTTACCTACAAATAAAGAATCGAGGGAATAATTTGAAGCCCTAAGCGTTTGAACAATTAGATTCAAAGTGGGTTTGGACAACGTGACACATCGTATGCGTACGACTTGGCTTAAGTTTTAATATTTTCCTTTTTCTATATTCACATCAACAGGATAATTAAAGACAAATAATTACCAAAATTTTGAAAATCAAGTGAAATCTCCTGTTTAGGACTCCATTTTCTATATTTCAACAAGGGTACTTTTTTAGTGTTTGTTTTTTGTCCAATAGACATTAGACTTCAAAGAGAAAAATATCGCATATTAGGCCTTTCTGAAATTTTGTTTGCCTCTAAATATTGACTATATAATTGACTTTAGATATTTTGCACTAATTATAGTATATATATTTGAACCCACAGGATGCCGCTAAAGGTACTACCGGATACTTTCAAGTTTCATCAAATCGGATGAGTAACAAACAAACACTAAATTTAGACAATTAGTCAATTGGAATAAAAAACGATATTATACAAATACTGGATGATCAGGAGCTGGATATGGCAGAATACAAAAATATGTGTAAGCCTTTTGAGTGTGCTACGATGAACTTACATTTTTTGAACTTTGATGTTTCTGAAAACTCGACTCGACTCGACTTCCGTCTAGCAATACACTGAACGAAAAAGTGTTGTCTTGTCCCGGGATTGAATATACATTTATTCTAGGGTAGTTGTGATTAAGTACACCTTTTCGAAAAATAAAACTCTTAAGTGGGGAATGTTTCAAAAACATTGAAAAAGAAATTGGTCAGTTGCAAAAAATGGACAGTTTCAAAAAATATCGGGCAGTTTTTTACAAAAGCCAGTTATAGCCAAATTAAAAGCAGCAGCTTAGAACCAATCAGATTTCAGTATCTAGACAAGGCGCATAATAACATGATATCTTGGCGTTTATTGTTTAATAGCGGTCACATTAACACCATGCACAATTACCATAATTACCATGCAAATGTAAATAAACTCATTTTGTATTGCATTGATTTTCTTATATTACCTCGTTACATTGTCATACAATTTAATGCTCTGTCTCGGTAAGGGAAAGGGCAGATGAAAAATATACCGGGGCAAGAAGTCTACATTGCACAGGGTGTAAAATAACCCCCCCCCCCTAATTTCAAAGGGATAAAATTGCCTACAGTTGAGCCAATCGTCTGAAACTATTTGTAGAGTTGCTCCATGAAGCTTGGTTTTAATGTGCTAGAGAAAAATTCAGATACAATGCGGACAAAAACGTAACACAATATTATGTGGATGTTAAAGCTAGTGGGGGAGAACATATTTACTTGACAACCTTTACTTTAAATTACGATTTAAATATTCAGGAAGCACTTTTTATTATGCATATTCATATGATCTTTGCTTGAAATAAAACAAAGTCTAAAATATGAAAAAGAGAGTAAGACTTTGATACTTACAATGGTCGATTGGGCTCTAATAATCATGTAAATAAAACAAATGTGTTAGTTTCATGTTTTAGCACGAAAAAACTAAGGAAAGGACATTACCATTGTTTGCCATTTTCCGTATATTGTAAGATTTATTCAGGACACTGTCGTTGATTTCTGTATTGAATATAATGCTCTGGATAATTTTCATTCCTTCGTATATTGAAGTTTTCAAATATACGGCAAATAGTCCAACAAGGACCAATGCGATCGCCTTTGCTTTAATTCCCCTTCTAAATCTAAAATATGACATAAAATACATATTCCCATAAGTATAGTAAAACGACTACAATAATAACGTATCCGAGTTTGTAGAGATCTACAGTTGCATTGTATTAGCCATATGCATTTCCTTTATTCAATATCCTCGATTTAAATCACGGATTTGTCGTCTCTGCTAACGTTTGATTCACCATCAATTAAATCTGTAGAACAAGCATGAAGGCATAAAAGTAGATTCCTTGTTTTAGTCCCTTTGCTTGTATGTTTTACGTAAATCATGAGAAAATACAAATATATCCAAATGGTGTTGGTAAAGCCAAAATACGATCCCTTGAGGCGGCGTTGTCAGATTGTGCATATTTTTGCCAATAATAACCATTGATATAAAAATCGTATACATAATCCAGGCTTGCGTATTTTATGAGTTATTTGTTTGCTTCCCTTTCACTCTTTGACGATTTGCACTTCGCATAGTCGTAAAACAAATCATTAATAGCTTCATTTATTTATTAGGTCAAATCAGCAGCTTTTTTAAAATGGATTTTTAATTTGCAATATATCCATACAGTGTACTTCTTAAAAAATCCATATTACAAGATTATGTACAAGTGACAATAGTATAAAGTGATAAAATAGGCAATGAGGCATAAACATGTGTAATTACTTTATACATTTAGTACCAATTTTTACCTAATCAATAAATTAATATATCATCTGCTCTGGCTATTTCAAACAAAGCCACTGATTCATTAATTATCAACTTAAACTGTTCTCTGGTTTTAAAGCACATGTTTATGTTCAATTTATATATCTAAACGTCCACGGGCTGTGTCGAATTCGTTTTGCTGCTGAACATGCTCTAGGTATGGTACAACGAAAGGGCAAATCAATAGGAATAAATCGTTTCATAATTTTAAGATCGACTCTAGTTCAATACTAATATGTATCATTAAACGGTTATGTCTGTAGACACTGACACAGCGGTGGTTTCAAAGTTAATTCTCTAGCTTCACGGCAACAGCGGAGACGTTAGATTCCGTTATTTAAAATGGCGGGTGTAATCACCCAATCGACTCTTCATTCGCTTTCTCACTTCATGTTGCGTTAAATCTGTGCAAGTATTAGGCTCTTGTTATAGAATATGACATAAAATACTAATTCAGATCAAATGTGGTCGTGAACCCAATCGAACAGCCATGGCTGCCATTTTAAAAAAAATACTCCGTTATTTTTATCAGTTATAGCCAAACTCGCCCCGCTATATTTCTTTTTGAGTTATAGAAAAAAACGAAAAAGAACACGAGCAAAAATGGCGGCCTTTTGTCAAAATGACCGCCTATTCCCCAAAGTGTCATTACACAATGTTATGCTTACGAGCATTTAAATATTTATATTTCCAACTTTCTGAATATTCTATAATGGTTTTTTCATTAAAATCAAAATTACGTTAAGCGTGGAATAGTTAAAGAACAGGAATTATCTCCTTCGTTAATATGAGAAAATCAATTTTAAGCAATGCCAATCCGGTGTAAAGGGGTAGGAGGTCCTATCAAATTATGGTCCTATCCTCCATTGATTTATATGTTGACCTCAATACAACTCTTTCCCTCATTATCTTATACGCAATCAGGGCCAGTAAGGGCCGTTAAGAAAGGGGACCATAATCCCTAGGGGACCATCATTTCTTTCACACCGGGTCAGAAAACATAGCAGATACAGAAGAAAGTTTACTAAAATTGAATAGTCATCAGTTTTAGTGAATCGTCTTTATAAAACCCGAATGTGTCTGATAATTATCACTGCGTCAAATGTGAAATTCCAAGCAATTTCTAGACGTGCAAAGATAGTCTAGGAACTCCGCGTATCTAGAGATTCCAAGACGTGTCAAGAGGTGCAAAGACCTCGCGTGTAAAGAGCGTGTCAAGAGTTTTGATATCTCTTTGCACAGCCTTATCAAAACAAACGGTATAATTAGACTGGCCACATGTTGTTATGCCCTATAGTCGCGCTTAATTATACTTTACTAGGATTGGAATATAACAATCATTTTAATTTCGTGTTAATAATAATTTGTGTTTTTTAAATCATTATCAAAATAAAATTAATTTAAAAGTATGCGTGTGCGTGTAAGTATAGGCAATAGCTTAGTCGGAATGAGTAGATGTGTGCAGATGGAGATCGCCTATGTATTTTGCTAAATCTGACATTTTTACAGGATCATGTTAAAGATCAAATGAAAACACGAAATGTGTTTTTCTTAGGTTTATCTACCCTGATTTCGAGTGATTTTAACTTGGACGCATATTCCTAGATATTAAAACAGTTTGAATAATTAACAAAGTCCACTTTGAACCGTGTCAATCAAATTATCAATTGTCAAATATGTAGATAGCACATGCAGGCCCGAATACAGGGGGGATAGATTGGTTCTAGCGACCCCCCCCCCCTCCGTGACCAAAATTGCATTTTTTACCCCATACTGAGCATCTTTTAAATTATTTTGCTCATTTTTGAACTAACATTGCCAAAAGTAAACTCCCCCTGGAATTTCTTAAAAAAGTAACCCACCCCTTGGCAAATCCTGGCTATGGGTCTGAAACGCCTGAAACATGCTCTGATATAATGAGGCATATTCTGTGATCTGAGCATATCAGATGGGAAGAGTTATGAATGTCAATAAGTGTGATTGTTATCATGTAATCATCTACCTTAATGTCAATACATTACATAATGTAGTAAGGCATTGTACATGTATTTAACAACAGGCACATCCTTCTTCAGAGGACTTCATTTATACTTGTAAAATACCCTTCCAGCGAGGATGCAACAGGCACAGTTACACAAGTTTTATGACCCCAATTAGATGAAATATGAGCTGGGATGAAAGATCTCAAAAATCAAGGGCTGGGAAGATTTGAGATGTCATGCTATCATGACGCTGAAACATGTGTCGCTTATTGTCACCTGTATTGATCATGATGGGGCGACGGCAGTGCCCCGAGTCTTTTTGATCTGTTTCATCTTATTAGTTACTATTTAAAATTGAATAATTTAGGACCCCGGAAGCAAAACAACTCTTTGTTATGAAAGGAATACACCACCCACATGGACAGAACCCCTCATGTAAACCATCTATAAATACCTTTGAAATCAATTTGATTTTCGATCTACATCTGAATCTCAGATGGAGAGTACTCTTTGACAAGATCAACATTTAAAAGTGTAGGAAAGTTTTGATAAAGATGTTTAATAGCTAATTATTCAGACATATTGTTCTTTCATGTTGACGATCATCGAACATAATTGCAATCAACTTCCATGATATTTGCAATTTTGAATTTTGAATTATTTTGAATGCAAATGTACTCAAGTACTATATCCTGAGTTCTGCCCGGATCCCCGAAAACGTTTAAAATCAAACTCGATTATTTAGCTAGACTTCAAAATAAGGCATTCAATAGAAACATGAAATCCATATCACTGTATAAATTGTGGAATTTCTAGTAATTTTTAGACGTGCTTAGCCGGTCTAGAAACTCTGCGTATCTAGAGATATTGACCAGGGCCTACACCAATATTCTTAACACCACTTATTAAAGGATGCATGCATCAAGGGGTAGACATCATTCAAAAGACATAAACATGACCGGGTCGGTGAGGGGAAGGTTTGCATACGATGCAATTTGTACATGCAAGCTCATTTTTCACATATAAATTAATAAAGTCGATTCCTTGGGAATACGTTATTGGGTTTATAAGCGTAACGAGGAGAAGCGATGGGTTCGCACCCCCTCCTACAAGCAATAAAAGGTACCATAGGGTAGAGGAAGAAAAGAGCATTAAATTGATTTTTTGTTTGAAGCTTCTAGCTCAGGTTTGAAGGAAGTTGCATCATTTTCGTAAAAATTCAAAACAAATATTTTTTGCCTCATTTATGTCACGATCGCACCCCCCGACTGAAAACCTAAAATATTTTGGTGATTGCATCACCCCTCCCCCCGACTGAAAGCTGGCTACGGCCCTGGGGTTTTATCGAAAACTATATCGTCAACATTTTATCATTATGCGGAAAGTCCAATATGAAATCTTAAATGGTAAATATGTTGCATTTATGGAGGGAATTCCACTGTAAACTATAATGTGAATGTTTGATATGAATACTTCCATACAACCATCAATATCCATTCTTTTGAAATAAGATGTTACAACAAAGGGAATATTGAAAACTACAGTGGTAAGAGCATCTTTCTGACTGCTAATTATGTGTATCAACATTTTGATTGCACCTCAGCTGGAGATTAAATCTTATAATAATTTGATCAAAGGGATTGTAATTTTCCCCAATTCGCTTATCTATGTTACAATCTGTATACTTGTTATATTGTGAGCGGTATGTGTTGATAAACCAAAAAGATATGTTTTTTGGATATCAACATTTAGAAAAAAGTGTAAGATACCATTCTATATATTTTCTTAGTGTTTAGCATAGGTAAGAATGGGGGATGGGCTGGCGGGGGTCCGTCTTTGAATAATTCCAAGGGGTTCATATATTATCACAATTTTGCTACAAAATCACTTGGAAAGTGCATGATTTGAAAGATTATTTGGCCAAGGCGTCCGCTATTAACATGAGTATGAATTTTATAAAAAAAATTACTTGAATCAAAATCGAAGAATTCCTTGCCCCGTGTGTTCACCATTCACCCCGGGGGTTCACACTCGGCTCAGGTGGGGTACCTTTTTTACATTTGGTATGTCAAGCCAATGGACCCACATTTTAAGACAGATTTTTCCATTTTCTGGTATAAGAGTCGGTGTGGAAAATATGTTACCCCTCAATTGTGGTACGGCATTGGTCCCGGGGCATTGGTCTAGTTGTTACACATATCCTTCATTTGAGGTTGTTTACTCAAAGATCTGCCTTCTTCTCGGAGCATTCGATATTTCGAATGGCCTTGGCCCTTATATTCTGGA